AACTACAAGATAAGACAAAGAAAAATTTTGGTGACAGTTCCCCTTTAAAGGCATGTTCGGGATCGGGATCCAGATCTCAGATCCTTCAGAGTTAACTGAACACTGTATTTCGGACCTTGACTGTTGCCATGTTGACGAAGTAATAAAATGGCGCTCACAAGTCACCCAAACGGGTGAAAGTCGTAATCATCACGCGCGTCGTACAAAAAGTCAACAAGCTCTATCTCGATCCACGTGTACGTACCACAATGTGTACAAAAATGATTTTTACCCGCCATATACGCACACAGGTCACATTTATCTGGTCAACCATGCTCTCCCAGGCGGGCTGACCGGATCCAAATCCGAAGGATCCGGATCCGACAAATCGAAAGGGTGCGAATCCAGTGGATCCGGTGGGTCGGGATCCCGATCCTACGAGCTCGTACCAATCGAACATGCCCTAAGGTTGTATTCGATTGTGGAAACTGGATCCCGATCCCCGCCGACCAGATCACTTCGATCGGACGGATACAATGGAATGTGCACAACTAATAATCTGTTTCAGGACCATAGCAACCGCGTTGCTACAGCTCATCCTGTACTATTCCATAGTATCTGTATGCATATTTGGAGGTTTGAGTAGATACGATGCGAATGAATCCGTCGAATCCGGCTCTGTGAGGCGCGTTGACTGAATAAAATAATAAAATACAATACAATTGACTGGATGCGAATCCGTGGGACCAGGATCCGGATTTGAAAAATTGAACATGTACGAATTTGGCGAATAAGGGGCCGGGGCCCATCGATTCGCACAATCGAACATGCCCTAAGGGCATGTTCGATTGGTAGGATCCCGATCCACTGGATTCACACCCTTTCGATTGGTCGAATCCGGATCCTCCGGATTGGGATCAGGTTAACCCACCTCGGGAAGCAGGGTTGACCGCATCCAAATGTAACCTTTGTACGTACACATTGTACATTGTACATTGTGGATCGAGATAGAGCTTGTTGACTTTTTGTACGACTCGCGCCATGAGTACAATGTTCACCCTTTTGCGTGACTTGTGAGCGCCATTTTATTACTTCGTCAACATGGCAACAGTCAAGGTCCAAAATAAAGTGTTCAGTTGACTCTGCAGGATCTGAGATCTGGATACTGATCCTTACCAATCGAACATGCCCAAAGGCTCCAGCCGCACTACAATTGTAGGCAAAAAACATACGTATGTACTATAAATGCCGCTTTTTGGTTATAAGTCGTCATGGTCACATACGGGAAACCTAATACGATCCATATCATTATTATTATTATTATTATTATTATTATTGACTGGTTTTGAGGGAAAGAGACAAACGGGAAAAGTCTGAAGAAAAAATTGACTGTCACCACCAGGACTCGAACCAGGGACCCTCGCTTGTAGCCAGCGATGCTCTAACCGCTGAGCTATGGTGTAGTCGTCAACCAAGCAGAGACCGTTCAACGTTTTCTTCAGACTTCGTAACTCACACTTCCTGTGAATCCACACAGGTGGGTGGGACGCAGCCCTCACTGTAACCCACACACTTCACGTACAAACTAGCACGCGGGGAGCCCCAAGTCATAAAAGATTGACTGGTTTTGAGGGAAAGAGACAAACGGGAAAAGTCTGGAAAAGTCTGAAGAAAAAATTGACTGTCACCACCAGGACTCGAACCAGGGACCCTCGCTTGTAGCCAGCGATGCTCTAACCGCTGAGCTATGGTGTAGTCGTCAACCAAGCAGAGACCGTTCAACGTTTTCTTCAGACTTCGTAACTCACACTTCCTGTGAATCCACACAGGCGGGTGGGACGCAGCCCTCACTGTAACCCACACACTTCACGTACAAACTAGCACGCGGGGAGCCCCAAGTCATAAAATATTGACTGGTTTTGAGGGAAAGAGACAAACGGGAAAAGTCTGAAGAAAAAATTGACTGTCACCACCAGGACTCGAACCAGGGACCCTCGCTTATTATTATTATTATTATTATTATTATTACAAGCTACAAGCGAGGGTCCCTGGTTCGAGTCCTGGTGGTGACAGTCGATTTTTTCTTCAGACTTTTCCCGTTTGTCTCTTTCCCTCAAAACCAGTTAATATTTTATGACTTGGGGCTCCCCGCGTGCTAGTTTGTACGTGAAGTGTGTGGGTACAGTGAGGGCTGCGTCCCACCCGCCTGTGTGGATTCACAGGAAGTGTGAGTTAAGAAGTCTGAGGAAAAAGTTGAACGGTCTCTGCTTGGATGACGACTACACCATAGCTCAGTGGTTAGAGCATCGCTGGCTACAAGCGAGGGTCCCTGGTTCGAGTCCTGGTGGTGACAGTCGATTTTTTCTTCAGACTTTTCCCGTTTGTCTCTTTCCCTCAAAACCAGTTAATATTTTATGACTTGGGGCTCCCCGCGTGCTAGTTTGTACGTGAAGTGTGTGGGTACAGTGAGGGCTGCGTCCCACCCGCCTGTGTGGATTCACAGGAAGTGTGAGTTAAGAAGTCTGAGGAAAAAGTTGAACGGTCTCTGCTTGGATGACGACTACACCATAGCTCAGTGATTAGAGCATCGCTGGCTACAAGCGAGGGTCCCTGGTTCGAGTCCTGGTGGTGACAGTCGATTTTTTCTTCAGACTTTTCCCGTTTGTCTCTTTCCCTCAAAACCAGTTAATATTTTATGACTTGGGGCTCCCCGCGTGCTAGTTTGTACGTGAAGTGTGTGGGTACAGTGAGGGCTGCGTCCCACCCGCCTGTGTGGATTCACAGGAAGTGTGAGTTAAGAAGTCTGAGGAAAAAGTTGAACGGTCTCTGCTTGGATGACGACTACACCATAGCTCAGTGGTTAGAGCATCGCTGGCTACAAGCGAGGGTCCCTGGATCGAGTCCTGGTGGTGACAGTCGATTTTTTCTTCAGACTTTTCCCGTTTGTCTCTTTCCCTCAAAACCAGTTAATATTATTATTATTATTATTATTATTATTAATTTTGGGAAAAGCCTAGCTCTACAACATGTGTCCCACTGTTTCCATGGTTTCAATTTAATTACAAATTTTGTAATTCATTTCCCTTGGCTCACCACCTGAGTTTCCTAATTTAACACAACATGCGTACTACAGTCACGCTGGCAACTGAAATCCGACCCCCTGGGCGGTGGGTTCACATTCTAGCGGTCTCGATTTCGTAGTATTACAATCCCGTGTTGGGTCTTTGCGATGTGAGCGCACCGCTCAGGGGTCGGATTTCAGTTGCCAGCAGTGTACTTAGTCACTAGTATTACTAGCTACAATACTCACCAACAGTTTCAATTTTTTCAATTTAATTAATTATCAATTTATGGTGAAATAGGAGAAGGACAAAATGTTACGAGTTCTGACTAACTGTCCGCCAACGTAACCAGATCTTAGACAGTTAGCGAGTGCCACAAAATGGCACAAAACTGACAAGGAGTGCTGAGACATTCGGCGACCTGATTCGCTGACAGTTAGTCATAACTCGTAACATATTGTCCTTCTCTTAAAGGGGAAGTCCGGTGAAAAATTTAAATTTCAGGGTCGGTAGAGTTTCGGCCGCTGAGTCGAATGGTGTTGGTCCCACGTGTCTCCGACAAAGCGTTCTCGAGATATTTCCGTTTGAAAAACTGAGTTTCGGGGGCTGCGCCATGACGTCATGCGGCCGCGCCACACCCTCGCAACGTCATAGCGTGCAGCTAGGTCAAAAGGAATGCGTGAAAGCAATAGTGTCAGTGCTATTTCAAATGATTTGGCGACTGATGTAGGTGGTGCAAGCGACCCCGAAGACATGTAACTCCTTGTGAGAGTGAGGATGCAGCCATGGCTGACCTTCATGAGTTCGGTCTGGGGCTGAGAACCTCGGTAGTCAGCTGAAGAAATGGCCGCGCGGGCCGGTCAAGAGTGAGCGCTACTGAGTTTCCGACTGATGAAGAAGCAGCAGCTATTGCAGACGAGGCTGATGTAATTATCAGATCGCTGGAGAGCAGGGTCGCCAAAATGGAGAAGAGTGATGCGAGTGCTCTAAATGTTGTTCCATACCGATTAGATTCGCTTAGACTCCAGTAGCCTGCCACATGGTGATGTTTTGGTGCGAACTTGGAATATTTCGGACTACTCAATTGGAGAACAGTGCAGGCTCTTTGAACCACGGGCACGACTCTTCGCTCGCAACGCTATGGAATCTGAAAGTTCTAGGTCCGAGAGCTGTTCGCTGTTTTGTCACTTGTCACGGTTGTGCACTCATCGCTGTAGCATAAAATAATGAGGCGCCGCGGGTGCGGAAAACTAAAATTTTCTTTCTCAAAGCACAACCACCGGCACCGGCAAGGAGAAACGCACGTTCTCTGACTACATGACTGTACGACTGATACGAGTGTAGTACGTGACAAGTCCGTGTGTTGACTAGTTTTCTGAGTCTTGTGTCAGTTGTGACATGAGTTTGTTGACTGCACTACACTCTACAGCTAGATAACACACTGCACGCACTGCATGTACGCAGCGCAGAGCGCATAGGCATGTAGACGGGCTAACGGAAAAGTCAAACTCGGAAACGGCTAAAATACGGTATAACCTCCAGGTTTACCGAGCTGAAAATCACAGGGTACGTAGTGTTTGTAACACTGAATCGAATGGTCTTGGTCCGAAGAAGCTGCGATAAATGGTTCCCCAATCGAACGCGCTCCGAATATGGCCATTTTTGTACACAACTAGATGGTGTGGCTACCTGGCTGCACGCTGTGACGTCATCACCTGGATCTGGGTGATGCGCGCTCAAATTCGCACATGTTCGATTGGGCGTATCTGACGAACCATAAGCCGCAGCCTCCTCGGACAAAGACCATTCGACTCAGCGCCCCGAACTCTACGGTCTGTGAAATTTAAATTTTTCACCGGACTTCCCCTTTAAATGACTTATTATGTTATTTCCTTGGCTCACCATCTGAGTTCTTATAACACCATTCGCATTACTCAGCCATTATGACTATCCACTTACTGCTGGTGCTGCGCGGTACGACGTCCATGGTTGCTCTATACCCTTGCTGGGCGGCATGCAGTCTGATTATTCGCCTGGCGTGCACTTGCCCTCTCGTTGGGCAGCGCATCTAAATCCAACGTGTCTAAGAATAGCTCCAGTCGGCACTGATCAACACGGATCAACACGATATCCTCCAGCCTAGCCCCGCCGCTCTAACGAAGTCTACACTCTCGATCTGCCAACCTTCTAAATGATGATGCTGATACTATAGCGGTGGTTTGCATTGTATTTTGCTTATCTCTTTTCAAGTACAAAAGTGCCTAGCGCGCTAGCGCTATCGAGAACAACACAATACTAGTACTCAATAGTTCAAGTGGTAGCCACGTTAGCAGAGCACATCAACAGTCAGTTGAAAGACATGAGCAGGTAGACCTACTAGTAAAGATTTGCCTCGATACGACGATTCGAATAGCAATCAAAATAATTCAAACTAGATCGTGCCATCAATATTTTCTTGCTCATGCACTTCCATCCCGGTATGAACAGAAGAAGCGCTCGACATTGTGACACTGACTGTAGAAGTACGCCTGTGCCATGGTATACACGTAGATCTACGTGTCGTTGTAAGCATCATTATGCATTCCTATTTTTTTAGCTACCGGCCCAGGCCACAACGCGCCGATCCCCCAGCCGATTCGTTTTTCGCGCTGCACTGTCTGTTTGCATGCTGCAGTGCAGGCGCTCGATCTACTCGACTGACAGTGACAGACATGACTAGACATCGATCGTACATCACATAGCAGTCTTATCTAGTCTGTACTGGCACATGCCCGTGGCAGGGGAAATAATCATCTACATGACTGTGTACAATCATGATTGTAGCTAGCCAGCTATGTCGTTGGGGCGCTGCCGTACTACCGCTTTAGTACCGGTACCATGTACCACTGCACTAGCGCTGACGTCACGTGCGTGGCACTGCTTGCGCGTGCTGCTGAGCTATGAGTATGAGAGTAAGACTTAGCTAAGAAGTAAGATCGTGCATAGCAGGGTCGGTCGAGCGGACACTTGCACTGCACACACACACCTACTAAAGCCGCATGCGCGCAGTAAAACTAAAGCCGCTACATGTGTCTACCATGGTCTACCGCAGTCCTGGTGTCGTCAGTGGTGACAAGTATTATTACCCAGGTAACTGCTGCATGCAGGCCTCACACGCTGTCACTGTTTTTAAAGGGGAAGTTTTAATAGTACATGTACTTAGTAGACTCGGGCCAGGCTTTGTTCCGTCGGCTGGCAAAGCCAACCAGAGAGTTATGCAAGACGTCGAGGTGGGCGTCGAAAGAATGGCGTACTCTCTTCGCTGGTGGAGGCAGTCCTCGGAACAGCAGCCATCTATGGCTGACGGAGGTCCCGCCAAATTTGAACCCAAGATCTGGCACCTGAAGGCACATGGTTTCCAGCAGGGCCCTAAACTGTCCAAGGACGAAGAGTACAGCCTGGCGAGCTTCAAGCGCGAAGCAATGGCCCTGTACAAAAACTCGCGAGTGCCGCAGCCGAACCTGTCTCACTCTGATCGTGAGCAGCTCATGAAGGTCGGCAAGGACGAGTCGGTCATCATAAAAAATCTGATAAAAGCAACAAATTTGTAGCAATGAAAATGACCACTTACCTGGAGAAGGCAGAATCCCTGTTGTCGGACGAGTCCCGGTTTGAGAAGGTTGAGCTTACTATCGACCAGTGGGAGGAGGAGACCCGAAACATACTCCGCCGAGTTTGCGAGGGATCCTTGGAAAAGGATTTATACACAGCCGTGATGCCGGGTGACAACAGCTTCCCTGAAATGTACGGTCTTCCAAAAGACCACAAGTCCAATATTCCTCTCAGACCAGTCGTTGCGGCCTGCGGCAGCCCAGTTACAAACATCTCCATAGTCCTCGAACGCATCCTCAATCAATGTCTCCAGTTCGTGCCAGCACACCTGGAGAACACTGTTGAAGCACTCCAGTGTATGAGGAGCGCGTTTCCCAACCTCAAGGCCCCGCCCGGCACCATCATTGTGACTATGGATGTGGTGGCCCTTTACCCTAGCATCCCGATTAACGATGGCATTGCAGCAGTCATGAGAGTCCTCCGACAACGCGAGGGCAGCATCGATCTGTTCGGTTTCCGAATTGGGCAGGTCAAGGAGCTCCTCGCACATGTGCTGAGCTCCAACTACTTCCGGTTTGGAGCGCAGGTGTACCACCAGAAAGGATGGTGTGGCTATGGGCAATAACCTAGCGCCCCCCTTTGCCATCCTGTACATGCATGACCTAGAGAGTTCGCTCTTGCGTAGTGCACCTGCCAGCCCAGTTCTGTACAAGCGCTACATCGATGATGTTTTCATTGTGTGGAACCTCGGTCCGGAACTTCTGCAGAGTTTCCTAGATCACTTCAATAATGCCGATCCTAATATTAAATTCACTCACCAATCCACGGAGTTGACTGGCTCAATCAATTTCATGGACACGACCGTCCATGTCTCACCAGATGGATCTATATCCTATGAACTATACCGCAAGCCATGTCACAGCGGACTGGTATCAGACAACAACTCGTCAGTTCCCAACCAGCAAAAGAAAGCAATTGCTTCCTCTGAGTTCCTGCGTGCCGTCCGTCTATCCTCCGATGCTGACACCCTAAAAAGAAGTGAAGAAAAAGTACCCAACATCCCAAAATTCAACAACTTCCCAGAGTCAGTCATAGTTTCGGCACGTGAACGAGCTATGCGCCCCCGACGTGGCAGAGTGCAGAATGAATACCGTGTCACCCTCAACCTACCGTTTCACACCGAGTATATCCACAACAAAATTCATAAATTACTCCGGAAGTACAAGATAAATGCCCAGCTGATTTACAGGAACCGCCGTCTAAGTTCTATGATTTGCACGTCTGCCCTCCGCAAACCACCATGCCGCAGGTACATGTATGTAGACCCGTCCAAGCCCCGTAAACGGGGGCGGCCCAAAGCTGCTTGTGTCGCCTGCATGTCCGGTTCAGAGGCATGCACAGAGCGAAACGTCGTCCACCTCGAGTGCAAATGTGGTGATAAATATGTCTGAGAGACGTACCGCAGCCTCGCCACCAGGACAAAAGAACACAACGACGACGCACGCAACACAGTGAGCGGCACCGCGCTGGGTGAGCATTTCGCGGCCAAGCATGCATCTGACCCATTGCCATTGGGAGCAACGGCTTTCTCGGGTATCCGGGTTCTCGGTTCTGAGCGTGACCGCCCCAGGAGGAGGATCCGGGAGGCCATCAACATCAGGGAGCGATCCCCGGAAATTAACAACAACAGTGGCTGGGATCTGCTATAACACCACCTTACTGCGAGTGGCGCGGGGCTCTACACACCTCACTGGTGGTGTGAGACTGGAACTGGGCTGTTATCACTGCTGTAGCGCAGTATCTACTTTCCTCGCCGTTTGTGCTTGTGTTGTCATGTACATGTATGTAGTAATGCACACCCGCCTGCGGCCATGACGTGCTTTGCACTTCTCTACGCGCGCTGTCACTATGTACTGCGCTTTGCTTGCTTGCCTCCTTCTTTTATACTGCTGTTCTTTCCATGTCCACTTCATTCCTGATGATGGTCATAAAGACCGAAACGATACCAATGGATTTGTGTGAAATGCAGTGCTCTCTTGAGTGTAGGCAGGTTGCCTGCAAACAATTCAAGTATAATGAAGCTGCGTGAAGCGTCCTTCAAAATTTTGAAACAGTTTTAATAGTGTCATATCAATATTAATATTGACTGAGTACGAGGTCAATATAGGAAATAAAAGTCTTTTACGAGGTCTTTTATTTCCTATACTGACCAAGTACGAAGTCAATATTAGATTTATCACGACTAGCCAAAGCCTGTGTCCAATCGCTAAAAAGGAGTCAAATATAAGCGGTCAATATAGCGCTAAGGAGTGAAATATGCAGGAATATTTGACTGCTTAGGTATGGCAGAAATCTATGGGAGTCAATACTAAGGGAGTGATAAAGTGTACTACAAGTACAAGTAGTAGTATACTCTACAGTGCACTGCCACTATAGTATTACTAGTGCACTAGTGTAGAGTCCGTGCATGCCATGAACATGGTAGTACCAAGAGTCCATCCCAGCTGCACATTCAATCTTGCCTGAGTCTGACTCTTGGCAGTTAGTTGGGGCCATGGACTCTTGTCTTGATGATGGTACCGGTAGATCTACTACACACTACTAGATCTACCCTCTATCGATGTCTACAGTCATAATCATTGTCTATGACTGAGTATGAGTATGAGTCTATGTCATGCCGGCCCATGCCATGGTCTACCTTCCGTAACCTACGTGTACTTACATGTACATGTACGTGTCTACCGCACCCGCAGCCTACAGCGCCTGCGGTCGAATGCCTGGGCTGGAGTACGCTCGCACGGCCTGCCTCCTCAGTTCAGTCCCTGCATGCTACTGGCTGCTTGACCGACCGTGTAGGTCACGTAGAGTTTACGGCCGCATTAGCTCAGATCCCGAGGCCTGAGCTGCTCGGTGAAAATCCGAAAACATTAATTATATAAAAAGGCGACGTGGAGACAATAATCTTTTAAAATAATGCAATGAATATAACTAAATGCGCACTCATATCACAACCATGGGGACGAATCATGTATTCCAGAACGTTTTCTTGTCACAATTATCAATGGAATTCGTGACTAAAGAGAATGATGAAACTACAATAGGATTTATACACTTGGAGTGGAACAGCGAGGATACAAGCATAGTAAGAAAAATAGCACAAACCTAGGAACAATTTGCACAGGTAATAAACTATAGGTGAGGTGAGAAATGATAGGAAATTCAGCAAGTGCAGTGTGACAATGGACATGCATGTGCAAGTGTGACACACACTGTCCATTGTCACACTGCACTTGCTGAATTTCCTATCATTTCTCACCTCACCTATAGTTTATTACCTGTGCAAATTGTTCCTAGGTTTGTGCTATTTTTCTTACTATGCTTGTATCCTCGCTGTTCCACTCCAAGTGTATAAATCCTATTGTAGTTTCATCATTCTCTTTAGTCACGAATTCCATTGATAATTGTGACAAGAAAACGTTCTGGAATACATGATTCGTCCCCATGGTTGTGATATGAGTGCGCATTTAGTTACATGTATATTCATTGCATTATCAACATTAATTATAGTGGACATTATACATGTATCCGTAAAACTCTCAGACTCCATTGCAGCGTAGTTTTCACATCGGAAAATATCTCCATTGCACACCGTACACAACAGGCTCTCAGCTGCATCGAATAGATTTCCTAATGCCAATATTTCGCCCATTGGGCATGATCAGGGTATGGATGCCCTGATGATGCCCAATGGGCGAAATATTGGCATTAGGAAATCTATTCGATGCAGCTGAGAGCCTGTTGTGTACGGTGTGCAATGGAGATATTTTCCGATTATACATGTACATGTAAGTTTAATAATTATATTAACGTAATTATTTGTAGTTCCTTGGTCCTTTGATCATTGAGGCA